GGGGGGGGGGGGGGGGGGGGGGGGGGGGGGAGGTTTGGAAAGAATCGCTTCTATTGGTTCAACATTTTGGGCACTTTTTGTTTTCTTCTGTTCTCGGGTGACTGTTTTCTTGCCACCAGACCTAAGAGTCCCAGAGAGCAGAGGGTCGCTTCGCACTCACGCTGCTGATGGGCGAGTGCCAACACGGTCATTTTTTGTGGCCTGCTTGCGCAGTTAGGGTGTCCAAACGACGATATGATCGTACCTTGCCAACATTTATTTCGAGGCGAGGACGGGGGGGTTGTACAGCAGTGCTGGCGGTGCTTTGGGGCATGGCCACCTCATCAGTACTCGTCTTGTGGTCTTATGGTGCGCGGTGTTGCTCTTTCTCTGGGAATGTCCGAAGGCCGAACACCGCCTTCCGGTTCACATGTACATCGGGCTTTCAGGATTCACGAGCGTTAGACCCGGCTGCAGCACGAGTTTAGTCGTGTTGGAACGCCGTGTGGCCTGAACAAGACCATGTACAACTATGTTTCGTCGAAAGGCGTGAGCGCCTCCGCGATGGGAATCTAACCGCGTGTGCGTTGCGCTTGTGCATGTGCCGTGTGTATGTGTGGGTGTGTGTTTTTTGCGTGCGTCATTTATGTTTCAGGATGCCCACGGGAGGGCTCCGGGAGAAGACTTCCACGAGACGGTGGCAACACCGCTCAAGGTTGCCGTTGGCGCCGCTCTCAGGTGAGAACAAAGCTCTACTTAAAAAAAAATGAAAAAAAAAAACGTCTTCTTCTTGCCCTGCCTTCGTTTTTTTGCCGGCTCAGGACCAAAGCTCGCCGTCTCCGTGTCTGTCGTTCTTCCGTGCCGATTAGTCACCCCCGTGTGAGGGTCCGAAGATCGGATGGGCGACGGGGGTGATAATCAGTTGCGTCCCGTCGGCCGGGTTGGGAAAGGGCGGGCTTGATGACTCGGCGACCAGTCAAATAATATCGAATTTCCTTGCTTGGACGGAAGGACTTCGATCACCATGCGAGGTCTGCGCCTATACTTTG